AATTTTAAAGTTTTGCTCTGAGTGTTCTAAGTGTGAATACAGTTTTAATTTGTAAGTCAGTAGAAAATTTTATTTATCCCGAACCTCACCACGTATGTAACAGTATATATAATTATAGATAATAAACACCCAGAGACCAGAATGTTTCCTGATACGGGAATCGAACCGGTAAGCGGTAGGTAGCGGCTTGGCTCTGCCCCTGACATTGTTGAAGTCCATGGGCGACGGTAACCACTCATCATCAGGTGGGTCGTATGCTCGTCTGCCTACAAGGCAATAAAATGAAAAAATAAATTCTCCGCGACCACAAAATGAGGTTTAATGGTACACATTTGAAATAGTTACGNGACTAAGTGTCTACAAAGCGAAATTAGAAGTCAATTTTATAGCTTAGTTCGTCTAATGTGACACAGCCCTCCTCGTCCATACCGTGGCGACGGCAAGGCGTGTGCACATACTTGTGTTGGAAACATAGTGCGGTGGAATTTTGTTAGTCTAGTCCAGGAGCTGGATCGCTTCAAGTTTTCTTTGTGTTTACTGCCTTTTGTTGACTCAGTGACTACACAGTTGCTCTTAAGGTCACATATAGATGCGTTGGTAAACAATTAATTCAATTTTTAATAAACGGTAATCATTGGAAAAGTGAATATTAATTACTGTTCTTGATTGTGAATTTCAGACTTTATTTCCTTTGTGATTTCTTTCTTAGGTGGTTTGTGAAGTCTGCCGTTAAATTATAAAATACTATTAAATTCTTGTTGTTTAATATGAAGTAATATTGTACATAATATTGCGCGTCTTGTAGCTGTTGAGTCCCGTTCAGAAGTGAAGGTGGTTGTGTGTTTTGTCCGCGTCGCGGAGCTCGCCGTTCCGCCGGTTGCCGCCCCCTCCCTCGCCGCGCTGCTTGCGTCTTTCCCGACTTTGCGAAGGAGGAGTTGATGCGTAAACAATTACTGTCACTACGGCACGCAATGATAATTATGAAGAGAATGGCGTTAGTGACGCTGACATTATCATTTTAAAAACACCATGGATTCAGCCGTCTCCGTCATATATATATGTATGTATGTATGTATGGGCGTGTTTGTGTATGTGTGTGTGTGTGTGTGTGTGTGTGTGTGTGTGTGTGTGTGTGTGTGTGTGTGTGTGTGCGTGCGTGTGAACATTTAGCGTATCACTTATAAACTTATAAAACGTCAATGACAATGCCGGTTGCTTGTCTGTAGTCGTTATTGTCACGTGGGGGTGACAATGTCGTTAAAATCAGAGTTATCTCACGAAAGGCATCTGTTACCATTCTATTCATCTATACTAATATTATAAAGAGGAAAGATTTGTTTGTTTGTTTGTATTAAATAGGCTTCGAAACTACTGAACCGATTTGAAAAATTCTTTTACTGTTTGGAAGCTACACTATTCCCGAGTGACATAGGCTATAATATTTTTTGAAAAAAATTACAGGTCCTTACTAAAACTCCAATAATGTAACCCAAGGTGTGAAAAAATTACCTAAAATATTCTTTAAATCGCGTGCCCTGCGAAAACTATTCATGATAAAATAAAATAATGTACCTACTACGATTTTGTAGAACACATTATTATTTACAAAAAGTGTTGCGGCAGCATATGTCTAACTATTACAGTTTTGCCGCAATAGGTGTTTTTTTTATTTAAAAAAATAAAACAACGTCAAATATCGTTGAAATGTTTATTAAAGACCCGAGCGGAGCCGGAGCGGGCCGCTAGTCTGTCATAAAATCATTAGATAAATATTGATTAACTATCTCTGATGTTATTTTGCATCTGAACAAAATAAATATTAAGTAGGTTCCCCGTCATATATATCAAATATAATAAATACTATCCAACATAAAAACGTTGCCGCCATTCTCCGACATATCATTTACTATATATATCCAACAAGAATAACTATCGAAAATAAATAATTTGGGTGAACTTTGGGTAAACTATTCACGCTTTATTCACACCACACATTCTGTACTACAAAAGTTACCCAAGCTCCTAAACTATATCGCGAACGAAAACCGATCTCAGTTGAGTGGTTCATAAATATTTGAGGACACATGTACGCGTTGAACGCGAGTCGATACTTCCCCTTATTTTCATACACCACTAATGCATACAACGTTTGCTCCGTAATGGTTTCCTGCTTATCGTATATATTTTTAATTAGATTTACGTCTTATTTGGCTTCAAAGTCAGTTGTTACTGTCTTTTTTTTACTACCCTCGTAGCTAGATCAGCATACGGCCCACCTGATGGTTACCTTTTAATGGTTAGTTATGCCATTGAGACAGTAGGCCTCAATTACTAGTCGGTGGCGGCATTCACGTTCTAATATCTATGGGCATCAGTAACTACTTAACACGAGGCGGGCTGTGTGTCACCCAAACTGCTTCTTTTAGTTTTCCCTCTTCAATCACCGTCGCTCATAGTCACCGCATCGTGCATGTTGCTGGCCACAGACATAAGCTTGAGGTCTCAATTATTAAACTTCACTTATTCTGAGCCCATTGTTTGTAATGGTAAAAGCGCTCTTTTCTGGGCTATTATTAAATTAATCAAAACATCCACAAAATCTTCGTTTAAAAGCCAGTGTAACGGAAACATTACTCTGTATTCTCAATTTTAAGGCAGATTTCCTTTATATAACTCGAGCATCATTTAACATCATCAATCACCGGATAGTTCGATCTGCGCCTTAAAGCCCTCGTGTGAAGAAATGAGGAGAACGTGTCATATTTGTCAACGTCTCCGCTACATTGCCGAGGAATTTGTCTTGAATACAGCTCTTGAGTTTTATGAGTGCCTGGTACTTTTTTTTTTTGTCGAGTCTGCCGTTTTGTGAATGGATACATTCGCCGTTGATGCGTGGTGCGATCAGGATGTCGTGAATACAGTTACCACCCATATTAGTTTGTGGATGAAAATCGACTTTTTTTTCGAAGGTTTGGTTTGGTCTTTTATTGGTGGTGGACGTCTTGTGAGTCTGCACGGGTAGTTAAAATCACCCTGCCTATTTCTTTCGGGAAGCAGTAATGCCTTTCGGTTTGATGGATGTGGCAGCCGTTATACTATTTTATTTTTATTTTATTTATTTTTATTTAATAAAAAAAGTACTGCCACATCACAAACATTTAATATTGAAAATAAAACTATTTTATTTATGGCCTGATGCATGTGACAATAATGGCGTACATAGCATTGGCAATTCATCGGCCTGAAGATGGAATACAATAATTTATCTATTTATTTATTTTTGTTTATTTATTTATTTATTTATTTAATACAAGGAGAACCAACAGCCAACTAACAAAGTATAATAATATAACAAATAATAGAAACAAAAAGCCAATTAAAGGTTCTCACCAATATATAATAAAAATAAAAAGGATACCTAACGAAAACATACTTTGAAATTCAAATTTAACAATTAAAAAGTAAAAAGAAAGTAAAAAGAAAAGAAGAAATGTCAATATAATATCAAGCAGCAAGTCAGTTATAAAACAACGAATAAAGTTAAGGTGCATTTTTTCTTTCTTTTTCTATTTTGTTCCTAAATACAGGCAACTTATTACTATTAAAACGGAGACTTAAGAAATCATATTTTCTTAATGTGGGTGGCGGCATTTACGTTCTAGATGTCTATGGGCTCAAGTAACCACTTAACACCAGCTCAGCCGTGAGCTTGTCCGACCAAAGCAATAAACAAATAAAAAGTTTGTAAAGATATAATCGATGGTCGTCGCCTTTGATATTTTCGTTTGAAATTTTTATCTTAAGTTAGATTCGTGCAGAATCCAAACTTTCAACTAATTGGTCGTAATACTTATGTTAATTTTCGATGTTTTAAAAACTCGATTGTACAGCGCTCGCCGATTTTCTTTAATCTCTTAAATTTTATCGGGTCCTGGTACCTACATTGGTTGATACAAGAAATAATTAAGCACTAGAGGTCCCGCAGTAGTCGAAATTCGACTATAATTAATTGGAATTTTAAGTTTGTACACCATTATGATTGTATTTTATACTTCTTCACAAATTTCGCCAAGACTACACTATAAAAACAGTAACAAAGCCAAACATTAATGAATCTCAATTTGACAACAGACGTCAAGAACAAAAGTTTGACAATAAATAGTATGCATGCGTGTGTGCGTCAAATACATGGTATGTAGTGTGTGTAATGTTTTCTTTATTGATTTAAGGTATCTTTTACGCATTATTTAAAAAAAATATTAGCATTGTGCTCTTCTTCTCTATATTCTCTATAAGTGTGGAAAATCTTATACTCCTCCGTCCGCGCAATTTTCGTAAAAAGGGATACAAAGTTTTTGCTTCACCTATTAATATTAAGCATTCTTTTATGTGTAAAATATAGCTATTAAAGTTGTGAAAATACTGAATGACAGACGTAAGCTAATCCAATTTCTATCGGACATTTTTATCAAACGTCAAAATGCCTCTATTGATTCATTCATATTCTCCAGAATTACATCTAGATAATAAATTGAGTATATTGATTGACGTCTAAAGTACCATTTGATTATCGTAAAACGCGCTTATAATAGCCACAACATGTTACAGTCAGAGGAGCGTGTTCAACAACAAAGTGTGTCTGTTTTTATTACGCTTGGTTGCTATCATGCTCATCGTAAAGTTTTTATTTCAAATCGAACACCTGGTTTTCTAACTATTACATAAAAATACATATCAAACATAAGAATGATATAGGCAGTGGCGAAAGTTGTACTAGATTTTTGTGTTCCTCATACGAAAAACCGGCTTCATTTTTTACGTATCAATCGCTCCGTCATACTTCATTAATAATACATCGGTGCGGTAAGATAAATTTTATCATTTAGATAGCTGTGTCTTTATCGATCGTATTCAAAATGACAAAAATATTAAAGAGTCTGGGAATGTGTATGTATATATCACATATTAATATTGGCTTTCAACCCAGTTGACAAACAGTAATGTTTTTGTTTAGTTTGATCCAAATGCGGATTTTGGTAAGTTTCCTCTGTTATATCAATCCAATCGGGACATTTAAAAGTCTGATAAACGATACATGAGCTCTAGTTTCATAAATTATAAATATAAAATTTAATTCGACCACCCCAAATGTATAGATTCGCAATTAATTCAATTGCCGCAGCTAATTTACCCACAATAAGAAGACGAATTATGTCTTCAATTTTTTATTTTTCAACTAGACAAGTCAATTACTTAAGTGTCGCGGACACAGCTATTTCTTCATGAAATATATTGTTATTATGAAGACTTTGAAGAAGTTACTTCACTGGTGGTAGGACCTCTTGGGAGTCCGCACGGATAGGTACCATCACCCCGCCTATTTTCGCCGTGAAGCAGTAATGCGTTTCGGTTCGAAGGGTGGGGTAGCCGTTGTAACTATACTGAGACCGTAGAACTTATATCTCGAGGTGGGTGGCGCATTTACGTTGTAGATGTCTATGGGCTCCAGTAACCACTTAACAGCAGGTGGGCTGTGAGCTCGTCCACCTACCTAAGCAATAAAAAAAAAAGTTAATGTAGATTTACTTGTTATAGGGCGTTTCCTAAAATTTCTTGAGTGAGTACCTACTGATATTCTGCGAATTTCTGTTGCGAGTCATGAGTTATTTGAAAGGATGGGGATTTTATATTGTAGAACTAAGACTTTAATCTAACGTCTTAAGTTGGTTTTTACTGGTGGCAGGACCTCTTGTGAGTCTGCACAGGTAGGTACCACCGCCGCGCCTATTTCTGCAGTGAAGCAGTAATGCGCTTCGGTTTGAAGGGTGGGATAGCCGTTGTAACTATACTGAGACCTTAGAACTTAAATTACAAGGTGGGTGGCGCATTTCCGTTGTAGATGTCTGTGGGCTCCCGTAACCACTTAACACCAGGTGGGCTGTGAGCTCGTCCATCCATCTAAGCAATAAAAAAAGCTATATTTATGCTCACCCATTAATTCAAATACATATAAAAACAAAACTGAATTCTACTCAACAAGAGTACTTAACGGTAGGCAGCGGCTCGGCTCTGTCCCTGGCATTGCTGATGTCCATGACCAACGGTAACGATTCACGATCAGGTGGGCCGTATGCCGTATCTGCCTACAAGAGAAAAAAAATACAGGACCATTATAAGGGTAGTTATGAGTGGTTTCGAATAAAGTTGTGGCGTGAAGAATCACATACATACGTGCGAAAGAGACCTATAGAGCTGCCCTTTTTTTCTATAGGTATAATAAGAATATTATTTCCTTTTTTATTTCTGGTTAGTCTTACGTGGATTATAATATAACATTAAACAACAAATATGACTTTTGTTAGTAAGTTAGCTTAAATTATGTTACTAATGTAAGTGCGTGTGTTAAAAAAATTATAAATTTTACAAGAAATCCCGGTTTTGGCTAAAGGCCCCCTCCAAAGGGGCCTCCATTTTTGTCTTTTTCCTATATATCACCAACTAAACTAAGCAGTTTGTTGGCGTAGCTTTTTATTGTGTAGATAGGTGAATGGATACACAGCCCGCCGCGTATTAAGCGGTTACTGATGCCCATAGATATCAGAACTTGAATGTCACCACCCACTGGTAATTGAGGTCTACTGTCTCAATCGCATAGTCATTTTACAAATTACAGTTCTTCCTGGTATGATTATTATAACGCGATGTGTCATTTATCGTGTAAGTCACTTGCGAACGTACATATGTCAAGTACGTGCTTCATTAGAAAGAATGGCATGGCAATCTGTGCAAGTCCCTCACTTGAAGTATTCAGGAAGGCATTAAAGGAGCACTATCTATCGATTTAGAATTAGATTAGTGCTCCTTTGATGCAATAACTAATAAACATTAAGTAATAACTTTATATATGTATTTATTTTATGTAGGTCATTATATATGTACGTGTATGTACATGTTTATGTTATTTATGTGTATAATTGTGCAAGTATGTATTCTGATATGTATAAGTGTCTGTTATTATTATTATTATTTATTTATATTTATTTAAAATCTTATTAGTTACATAATATTTTTTAAAAAAGATATTAGAAATTAAATTTTTAAAAAACACTATATAAAAATAGATTGCCGCTGATGGCGTTGTCTGTTATTATTATTATCATTGTTATTGTCAATACAAGATTGTGAGTACAATCTAATCAATAAGTGAATTGATTAGATTGTACTCTTCTACCCACTTATGTAAAGCTCTCCCTCTTTAAGAACGGTTAGCTGGTAGATAACTCAATTGTTGAGTTAAGCTCGCCATTTTATAACTTTTCGCAATGATTGTATTTTATTAATTGTGTGTTCAATAAAGAATAAAGATTACTATCTGCGTAATTTGGGCATCAGCACAGTCACGTCGTTTGATACGAGTACTTCGTCTTCTTCGCTTTCTTCATTACTGAAGGTCCGTGTCCTTGAAACTTGACCGTGGCCGTCGTCTCATGAATTGTTACCATATGTGAGTGTATACCATACACACATGTATAAAGCGTGCATTTTATTGGATACCTCATTTGATCAAAGCCGCTTCGGATGATGAACTAATCAACTGTTTTCGACAACAACAAAAGGTCGCATGAACCTACCAATGCTGTATCAGTTGCTACCGTTATCAATTCAATTAAACTTAGTAGGTTCCTTTCCAATGACCTATGGTGGCCTATGACCAGCAGTGGACGTCTATGGGCTGGAGACGATAATGAAGTTGAAGAGTTTTAAAATGGTAATTTTTTATTTCCAGATACTGCTATCCATTTCCGCGGAGCTAGCGCTGACTGCTTCCATAAATGGACGATTATCCAACGATGACGATTTCAAGAGTTATGGAAAAAATGTGGAGCATCAAGAACCGGGAGAAAGAAGAGACTATAACATTCTAAGTGGATTTCCAGATAAGCCTAAAGAGGTAGCCCTTCCTTCAACGGTTGATCTCTTCAACGAATTTGAACCAAGCTTAACCGACAAACTCCATGACCTAACATCACTGAAACATAATCATCATAACGCTGCTACAGCGCCAGGAGTTCCAGATGAGTCTCAATTATCAGCACTGACCTTGATCCCGACAAAACATATCTTCCCGGATCAACCAGATCACCCCGTGAAATCACAGCGTTCAAAAAAGCCTGATCATTCAGGGAAACCAGACAAACCTGGTCATCAAGACAAACCAGACAAACCTGGTCATCAGGAGAAACCGAACAAGCCTGGTCATCACGAGAAACCGAACAAACCTAGTCATCAGGTGAAACCGGACAAACCTAGTCATCAGGAGAAACCGGACAAACCTGGTCATCAGGAGAAACCAAAAAAACCTGATCCTGATCATTTAGAAAAACCCAAGAAACCAGGTAATAATTACAAATCAGATAAGTCTGATACTTCAGATAAACTAGAGAAGCCAGGCCACCACAAAGAAACAGAAAAATCAGAGAAATTGAGTCCTCTAGAGAAACTTGAGAAACCTGGTCATCACGAAAAACCAGATAAGCCTGACCATTCAAAGAAACCAGGTCATCACGAAAAACCAGGGAAACTTGATCATTTAGAGAAACCAGGACATCACGAAAAACCAGGGAAACCTGATGATGCGGAAAAACCAAAGAAACCAGGACATCATGAAAAACCAGAGAAACCTGATCATTTAGAGAAACCAGAGAAACTAGGTCATCACGAAAAACCAGAAAAACCTCATTCAGAGAAACCAGAGAAGCCAGGCTATCACGGAAACCCAGATGAACCGTATCATCCAAAGAAACCAGGTGATCATGAAAAACCCAAGAAACCTGATCATTTAGAGAAACCAGAGAAACCTAGTTATCACGGACAACCAGAGAAACCTGATCATTCAGAGAAACCAGAGAAACCTAGTCATCACGAAAAACCAGAGAAACCTGATCATTCAGAAAAACCAGAGAAACCTAGTCATCACGAAAAACCAGAGAAACCTGATCATTCAGAAAAACCAGAGAAACCTGATCATTCAGAGAAACCAGAGAAACCTGATCATTCAGAGAAACCAGAGAAACCTAGTCATCACGAAAAACCAGAGAAACCTGGTGATGAAAAACCAGAGAAACCTGGTGATGAAAAACCACAGGAACCTCATCATTCAGAAAAACCAGGGAAGCCAGGTCATAACGAAATACCAGGTAAACCAGGTGATGAAAAACCAGAGGAACTTGATCATTTAGAGAAACCAGAGAAACCTACTCATTCAGAGCAATCAGAGAAACCAGGAAATGAAAACCCAGAGAAACCCGATCATTCAGAGAAGCCAGAGAAACCTGGTGATGTAAACCCAGAAAAACCTGATCATTCAGAGAAACCAGAGGAACTTGAGAAGCCAGGTGATGAAAAACCAGAGAAACCAGGCGATCATGAAAAGCCAGAAAAACCTGATCATTCAGAGAAACCAGAAAACCCTGATAATTCAGCACATCCAAATTTGTCCGAAAATCCAGATAAACCAGAGAACGACGCCTACGGTTTACCTGGCCCAGAAAAACCAAACCATCCTTAATCAACCTCAACAGAATCCATTCTTGAAAAGCCAGGGAAACCAACATATGGCCTTAACATCACAGAGAGTACAGTTGACTCAGCTGATAAACCGCTTAACACGAACAGCCTTGTCCCGGCTCAGAGCTCAAACAACACAGAACCCACCCAGGCGAACCAATAAACGATCCTAGCGCCACGGAAAACCCAGCTGCGATTGTGGACGAATCATTTCTGTCATACGACAAAATTAAGCAGGATTAAAAAAAAAAAAACAAAATGTGTGCAATTCACACGTGGTAGAAGTGAAACCTTCCAAAATTAAAATACAATTATCCTAAACGTCTTAAGTATATGTAAAATTTTGTCATTAGTAAATAATTGTAAGGTAGCGCCCTCTGTGAATTGATATTTTAATTTCACGTATAATCCTAAATTAAAATTCACTACAAGAGCTTTCATACACACGNCGTCTTAAGTATATGTAAAATTTTGTCATTAGTAAATAATTGTAAGGTAGCGCCCTCTGTGAATTGATATTTTAATTTCACGTATAATCCTAAATTAAAATTCACTACAAGAGCTTTCATACACACGTTAGTATTAAAAAATCTCACAGATGGCGCTGTATTAAATGGTATGTATATTTCTGTCTCATTCTTTGTATTTGTGTCTCTTACCTGTCGTTTTTTCCGTTGCATCCGGTTTGAAATCACAACGATTCTAAAGAAGTTTTCACTTCAATATCTAGCAGTTTGTACTTAGCTTCCAATGCTTGATTTTTTCTTTCTTATCTCTGATTATTTGTTAGCTTTCAATACTTCAGTTTACGATTGTTACGAAGTTTAAATTAAAATTTATTTATTGTGAAAATTGTTTACTTTTGTTTCCTTGATTACATTAAAGTAATGTGTTTTACTGGTGGTAGGACCTCTTGTGAGTCCGCGCGGGTAGGTACCACCGCCCTGCCTATTTCTGCCGTGAAGCAGTAATGCGTTTCGGTTTGAAGGGTGGAGCAGCCGTCGTAACTATACTGAGATCTTAGAACTTATATCTAAGGTGGGTGGCGCATTTACGTTGTAGATGCCCATGGGCTCCAGTAACCACTTAACACTAGGTGGGCTGTGAGGTCGTCCACCCACCAGAGCAATAAAAAAAATGTGGATAGGCCTCCCACAAGATGAACCGACGATGTGTTGAGGTTCAAGAGGATCCACTGGATGCAAGCAATGAAGAGCTGATCTTTCTGGTGAGGCTTTGGGCAGGCTTTGTGTCTAACAGTGGACGTCTGTGGGCTGATAGAATAGATTACATTTAAAATTATTTTGCTGGTATTAATTTACTTTACCTTTTACACAAGCGGTCTTTGGGCTACTCACACCCAAAAAACGGGTAATGCCCTGCGCATGCATTAAAATAATGCCTTCAAGGCGTTGTTGTAGTCCATCAGGCATGTTCGCCGATGCGCACACGGATGACTACTTCGCGATAATGCGCAAAAAGGTGGTATCCATTACGCGTAGAGTAGGAGGAAGCACCAGCAACGTCTTGAGGGTACTTACTAGCTGAGAGACTGGAGGCCCCGACCCTGGGTAGGTTCATCAAGTTGCATGTTCTACATGCTGCTTGATGGGGCTGCCAGGGACGGAGTTGACTGATTTATTTAAATACTAATATAGTTCGTAAGTTATTTGTAATACTAACACAATATGAGACTGATGTCTTGAAATAAAAGTTTTTATTTTATTTATTTATTATTATTATTATTAAATGATGTTTGTTATCGCGGTTCTCACATTGAATGTCTGGATGCCGCCACGCGACTTAAGGCACGATTTTGGAATCTGTTTCATATTGGCTATCTAACGGTAGAAATAAATAGAGTGGTGATACTACATTGGGCTCAATATTTAGTCCAATAATACTAAATATTGCTGATACTCCATAATAATAGTTACAATATTTTATGACTATAGTATTCTCTTTATTTTTCGTTAGTCATAGAAATGATTAAAATGAATTTCAAGTTATTAAAAACACTTTAAAAGAAACACACATGTCACGAATTATACTATAGTTATCACAATATTCTAATGTCGATGAATATGAATACACGGTTTAAGTAGCTTTAATCATTTTATTTTATTTTTATCTGGTGAATATCGGTCCGTCTTGAGGAAAACACACCATATTCCGGTGGAAATAAAAATAAGACAAATCTTGTTCCTATTTATAGTACACAATAAAATCAATATCCGTAAAGCCGTTGACAAGGGATATTATTCTCTTTAGCTTGGTAGCAAATGTTTTTTTAATTTAGAAGCAATTTGATTTCCAGGAAACTTATTCACAAATTAGTTATTGTGTGGATTGCAATATTGAGATAAAATATTTTTTTATTGCTTAGGTGGGTGGACGAGCTCATGGCCCACCTGTTGCTAAGTGGCTACTGGAGCCCATAGATATCTGCAAAGTAAATGCGCCACCCACCTTGAGATATAAGTTCTAAGATCTCAGTATAGTTACAACTACAGACTTCTACAGAATACGAATAAAGGAATAAATGTTAGCTCTGTATAAAATACATCTATTTTAAAAACATCTGTTTTTTAGTTCATGAAACTATCATTCATTTAACGTTATCTCTGCTATGGAAATAAAGTAATTAATATCAGATTTAACGAAACAAGACATCCAATTAAGAATCATCAAAATGTTATTTGTTAATTATCCAATCTTTAATTAATTACCTACTTGTTTCCATATAAATTCGAAGTGAGACCATTTGATTCATATTAGTTTCAAGATGCGGTCGTTGGTAAGTCTTCATTTCTTCTATTTTCTCTATATTCTTATTGTACTTTTTGAAAATTATATTATAGCTTTTACAAGTATTATCTTTTTGTTAAGATCCCTCTGTACAGTTTTGACCTTGTAAGTTCATTGTAACTCAGTTTATTTTCACAGTTTTTTTCCGGCGTACTTGTGTTGGCTGTTGCCTTCGCGGCACCAACTGAAAAGCCTGATGATGCTCAAACCACCACAGCTCTTTCAACCCAGCACACTGAGGATTCGGTGCATGATATCGGAAACCTTTCAGACGAGGAAGGTGGAGAATTTAATGAAGGTTTTAACACACCCTTCCATTCTTTATCCGGTTTCATCACGCTGTTTGTGCCTTTTGGAGTAGACCGATGGCCATTTTCACGAAACTACCCGTTTTGATCTCAATTTTTTGCCAAGATCTCAGTGGAAATACGGATTTGATTTTCTGAAATTATTTTAGCAAAGATCATTGAATTAAATGAATTATTGACTAGAAAATTCGGTGTTTTATTTTTTTATGTTATGGCCGCTTCAAGTTGCGAAGATTACGTTGCATTATCGGTAAAGGTGCTTTGAATGTTTTTCAACACAATTTTAATGTATCGAATATTGTTTTTATGAATATTATTGTTATATTTATTTTTGTCAACTTACAGAGAATATCACTAAGTATCAAACGTATTCGGATAACAATCATGATCATATATGATACAACCTGAAGATTACTTCCCAGCAAAAACAGACAGAATTCAGATAACTAGAGGTCTCGCAGTAGTCGAAATTCGACTATAATTAATTGGAATTGTAAGTTTGTACACTATTATGATTGTATTTTATACTTCTATAATCACAAATTTCGCCAAGACTACTCTATAAAAAAAACATTAATAAAGACAAACAATATTTAATCTATTCTCAATTTGACCACAGACGTCAAGAACAAAAGTTTGACAATAAATAGTATGCATGCGTGTGTGCGTCAAATACATGGTATGTATTGTGTGTAATGTTTTCTTTATTGATTTAATGTATCTTTTATGCATTATTTTTAAAAAATATTAGCATTGCGCACTTCTTCTCTATATTCTCTATAAGTGTGGAAAATTTCATACTCCTCCGTCCGCGCAATTTTCGTAAAAAGGGATACAAAGTTTTTGCTTCACGTATTAATATATAGATACTTACGCGACCTGACAACGTGTCAGAGCTAATCATTACATGAATTGAAATATGTTGTCAGTTTTTTAGGTTACTTACACTTACGTAGTATATAAGTAAGTTTATATTTTGACTATGTAGATTGTAGATAGATGACCATATAGTCCATTTCACGGTCAGTGGTGAATGTCACTCACAGACGTCTGTAAAAGTGTAAACTCGTCCTTACGGATCCATCAGATCCAATAACCTTTGCATTAGACGCCTTCCGCTCTAACACTAGGAGCAGAGATCCCGGTAAACGTACTCGTCGAACTCAGCAAAGAGTTTGACGTGCAACCTAATCTAAGAATCAGCCCGTTGAGTTTCTCGCCGGATCTTCTCAGCGGGTCGCGATTCCGATCCGTTAGTAGATTCATTCGCGAAGCAGCTACTCTTGAGATGTTCGGTCTCCCTTGGAGGCGCTCGGGTAGCTGTTAGCAACTCCCACCCCTTCTGGCTGAGCCCTTGCTCGCCCACCTGTCCTTGTGGAACTGGAAAGACCTCAGGGCCACTAAGCCTTCAATCATAAAAAATACAAGAAAAAAAAAAGTCTGTAATGCTGCGGACACAGTCAATTCACTATCTACCGTTCGGGACATCCTCATACCTTCTTTAAAGAAGGACATGTCATAGCGCCTATAAATTAATAGAATAGAGGAAGAAGATGAAAACGAGAAGAACGATGAAGATGGTGAAAACGAGATGACGGGTTCATCAAACAACTGTTTTTCTGATGGTAGGACCTGTTGAGAGTCCGCGCGGGTGGGTACCACCACCCTGTCTATTTCTGCCGTGAAGCAGTAATGCGTTTCGGTTTGAAGGGTGGGGCAGCCGTTGTAACTATACTGAGACCTTAGAACTCATGTCTCAAGGTGGGTGGCGGCATTTACGTTGTGGATGTCTATGGGCTCCAGTACCACTTAACACCAGGTGGGCTGTGAGCTCGTCCACCCATCTAAGCAATAAAAAAAAAAACAATAGCTGCTTACAAAAAATAGCTATTGGCCAACCCTGACATCAAATGGTTAAAGTACTTTTATTTATTAAGTGGCTTGATCTATACGGGCTCACAAAATATACTCTCATCAGTAAAATATTTTCATGTAAAGTTGCTCATTCTACATATCCCACCCCAAACTATAGATGACTGATAATCATTAAAATTTGTTCAGAAAAAAGTCCCCGATACACTGAACTCAAAACATCATTAATCAACATATCGGCCTACTCATAATGTGTATAAAGAATGATAAAACCAAGATTGGGAAGGCATAATGACGCGTTTTATAGGCT